GGGTGTTCTCAGACTTCAAACTGGCTTTGAATTTCCTCTCAATTTGAATTTCTCCTTTGTAATTGACACCCAATTGCAATTGACTTGTAATTGGCACCCAATTTGAATTTCTCCTTTGTAATTGGCTCCCAATTGACTTCCTTTGTAATTGGCTCCCAATTGACTTTGACTTGTAATTGGTTCCCAAACTATTGGCTCCCAATTGACTTCCTTTGTAATTGGCTCTGACTTTGACTTGTAATTGGTTCCCAAACTACTCCTGGTGCTTTCAATTGCTTCCCAATTTGAATTATTGACTTTGACTTCGAAATTGGCTCCCAGACTTCTCCTGGTATTTAATTTCATCTCAATTCAATTTGATCTCCATGTCTTCTTTGAATCGGTCCCCAATTTTGCATCTCATACTACAACCTCAATTGGCTCCCAATTTCAATTCATGCATTGGCAATTTCAATTTCTTTGAAACTAGCTCCCAATTTCAAATCAATTCATGCATTGGCAATTTCAATTTCTCTGAAACTAGCTCCCAATTTCAAATGCTTCGAACTAGCTCCCATTTTCAATTCCCAATTTCCACTTGTAATAAGCTAGCCAATTTCAATTCAATTCATGCTGGCAATTTCAATTTCTCTGAAACTAGCTCCCCAATTTCAAATGTTTCGAACTAGCTCCCATTTTAATTCCCAATTTCCACTTGTAATAAGCAGGGCGCCCAAAGCCAAACTATCGCCCAACTCCATGCTTCTCAATTGCCACTTGTAATTGGCGCCCAAAGCCAAACTAGCGCCCAACTCCATCAGATTTGGCTTCTCAAATTTGACCTTGTAAAATTGTTGATGGTGAGTTTTGAACTTGAGCCATTTCACATGGCATATCAAGCATCTTCCACTTCGTCCGTACAACTTATTAGATAAATCTCCAATCATATTTGATGTACTCCTTTCTTTCCATAGATGCTTGATCTCCAAGTCAAATTCATGCAATCTTCCAAACATAATTTTCTTTCACGAAAATTCTTCTGGGATATTTCTTTGAGTAGCATTGACGTGATTTCATATAATTCATCTTCTTCTTCAATTTGTCATTTTCTCCAGACAAATTCGTGATTTTCGGCTTGATATCTTCTTCTACTATTTTCATGCATCTTCCTCTGTTTTTCTCTTTTGCAACTTAAATAATTTCCCGATCATGGTCTAAGACACTACTAGACCTATGAAATAAAATTGGGGGATCTACAAATACATATTTGGCATATCAAAACCATTACACTTTATTCCTAACAAGTGCATAATATTATTGTTTAAATTATGCAATTTAGTTTTGTGAGAATTTAATTCATAAATGTCAACATATCATATGATTTTGATATGGTTAGAATTTACAATTTTAAACTAGTTCTCATAAAGTTTATTATATGCATTGAATTTTTTTTTCTTTTTTGTATTGGGCCTACAAGCTAAAACTTTTCATTAATTGAGAAATATATGGTTATTATAAATTATTATTCAAATTTTATAATCCCTAAAGTTTTGGATTTATATATGTTGTTATTTGAATAATAGTTTTATAGCTCATTTTAAATTGTTATTATGATGTACAATTTATTTGAATATGAGCTTATTAATTAAATTTTATACATAACTGTTCACTAGCATAACATTATATTTTCTAGTTATGTGAATTTAATTATGCCTTTAGAAATTGCATAAGTCAGGAATTATAATAATTCCTTGTTAAGGTGAACTTTGTGTGTAGAATTATAAACGGTAGTGCATTATGTTTAAGCACCTTTAGACCGTTTAGAATGTTCACTTGAGATTTAAAGTCTTTCCATAGGTGAACTATTAAAGATTTGGAAAGATTGCTCGTCAATTATGCCTTTAGTGTGAGAAAACATGAACTAGTGAAAAGATTCTCGGGAAGGGGACAATGTGCTACTAGTTCCCTTGAAACATTACTCTGTCTAAGAAGTTAGTTTTTAATGAGGCTCCGTCCCAACCAACTTTCCTGCGAGTATACTTGGAATTGTTTATCACATTGTTGCATAATTGTTCTCAGGCTTAAAGTTGATGCCTGAAATATCAAGATAATCGTCTAGTGATCATATAATTTTGATTAAATAAGGGGAAACCACATCATCTTTAATTAATTAAAATTTTCTGAGATCACATATAGTCATAGACATATTGATTGTGATTAATTATATGATATAATAAAATTTAGTCGACAGACAATTTTTTTATGTTTATATAATTAATTAGGGTAAAAACACCAAAGTATGATCATAATTTAGCCCATAGGCAATCACTAGTACAAAACTGCACATATGCAACCATTGTAAAAGACATTAGGCAACCATTGTACAATGGTTGCCTATGAGACTCGCGAAAAAGCATTGACTTTACGCAACCATTGTGAAATGGTTGCGCATTGTTGGTCGCGACCATTCTTGACCAAGAATGGTCGCGTATTGTTTTTTTATTTTTTTTATTCAAATGTAATACGCGACCATTCTTGACCAAGAATGGTCGCGTATTGTTTTTTATTTTTTATTCAAATGTAATACGTGACCATTCTTGGATAGGAACCATTCTTGACCAAGAATGGTCGCGTATTGTTTTTTATTTTTTATTCAAATGTAATACGCGACCATTCTTGGATAGGAATGGTCGCCTATTGTTACTGTTTTAAAAAATAAAAAAATAATAAAATAGTTTTAATAATAATAAAATAGTTTTCATACTATATATTTATGTGCAATTCCCACACAACCATTATGAAATTACTATAGTATTTGTAAAAATAAAAAAATAATAAAATTATTTTAATAATAATAAAATAGTTTTAATACTATATATTTATGTGCAATTTCCACACAACCATTATGAAATTACTATAGTATTTGTAAAAATAATAAATTAAATACAAATTTATAATTTTAAAGTAAAAATTAGGTTCTTACACATCCATGTTAATTTCCTTAACAACATCATACATAGAGCAACTCTGTATAAGGGATCCACGGACTTTCGGGCAAAGCGAACTCTTCCTCAATCAGCTTCACCTGCATACATGCACATGTAAGAGAATGAGCTATGGAAGCTTGTACGGAGAACATTCTAAACTTTGTTACTGGAATCGGAGATACAAGAACACATTTGGTTCCCTGTGAGCCAGTATGGTAGAAGTTAAGACAACATACATATAGAATCTAAGACACAGCAGAACTATCCAAAGCTAGATCCTCTATGTCAATCATGTTTGGAATGAAAAAGATACCCTACGGATTAGATATGTTACAAATTTGAGTTTTTTCTTCTGAATCTGCAAAAAACATGTGACTTGAGGACCCCTCGAAAACTAGATTTTGTCCCTAAAACAGTTCCACCATCCAAACACATAACTCAATGTTTACACTTTACAGAAACTATAGTAACTATGGAACAAACAAAGAGAAGCTTAGCAGTTTGTAAGACATCAATCAGAAAGATGCAAATGGCGCAAACTGAAGAGAAAAGATAATACTATGATGAAAAAGTAGATAGCATAAGATTACTTCTTCCAATCCCAGGAGAGGCAGATAAAGCATAAATCATAGATGACAAAATGAAGCCCTCAAACATCAATATAGACATAGGTGCTCAAACTTCTCCTGATTATATAGGAGTGTATTCTAAGGCATGATTATGAAGATTCCATAAGACTTTAAACAACCACAATTGTCAAAGATGCATAATAATCCAAATAATGGACTAATTTCCTTTTCAAACATTGTAGTTATTCATTTTCCATTAGTAAATAAAGAAACAGCTTTTTAACACTAAACTGGTACCTTTCGTTTAGCTGGTACTGATGTGTTAGCAACTGGTTTGAAAAATGATTATAACCTGGTCAAGAGGAAGAAAAAAATTTTAAGGACAAAAGAAAAGTTAAGAACTTGGTCCTATATATAAGCAAATCATACCGCCCCTGAGAAGACTTATTCTTGGCTGCCTTGATCTTTTCTATCGCCTGAATAAAACCAGATCAAGATTGAGTTGAGGTCTTCCAAAAACAACCATATATTAAGAATACATCAATTATGATTGGAGAAAAGATTCACGTCAATCAACTTCATCAAGTACATGTCTCCTAGCCAAATGGGCATGGACTCACCATAGAAGTACTGTTTAACTATATTCAAGTGAATAAAGAATGATAGAGAACATGACACTAACAGAAGTCTATGAACATAGCTATTTTCGTTAGGGTTGATGCATTGAACAAAGGTGGCCACAACAGAGGTAAAATATAGAGGATATCCATGCATGGAAAGACAATTTTAGGCATAGTAAATTTCTGACCAAGCAGCAGATTTAAGTGCATCACATGAGATAGTAACATGGCTTAGTTCACCACCAATATACAAGCCAGAATAAGTTATGAAACTGTACATTACACTTTGTTGAATCCATTATTAAAAGCTTGCTGATGCCATAATAATGTGACAATTGGCACACAATAAAATTAGAGACAAATGCTTAACACCTATGACTCATAATTTGATTTTATCAAAGATAAAAGGTGCAGATGATGATTCTGTAGGTTAAAGTACCTATGAAGTCCCTGTACTATAGTGTTTTGTTCAATTTAGTCCTTGTACCTTTATTCTGTTCAATATAGTCCCTCTACTTTAAAAAGTGATCAAACTAAGGACAATTGTCCAAATCTCATTACGAACATGATCGTAATTATTTATTTTGGACATACTAATTATATATGTTGGTGGTAAAAATAATAAATTTTAAATATTTATAAAGTAATATATGAGTAGGAATATAAATATCATCAGCGCCACGTAACCTAAGTTAACAATAATATTAACACCGTTAACTATTGTCCTTAATTGCACCACTTTTGAAAGTACAGGGACTAAATTGGACAAAATAAAAGTATGAGGACTAAATTGAACAAAACACTATAGTACAGGGACCTCGTAGGTACTTTAACCAAATTCTGTATCTAGAAACCATAGCCCATGAAATTTTTCTTACATGTACTCATCTACCACATTTGTCAATTAACAAAGTCAAAAATAGAAAGTAATTAGGAACTAAGTCCACTCACCATCTCCTGCTTAATCCTCTTGAGTTCCTTGTCATTTGACTCGGCTCTGCCTCCCAGATCTATGAGACAAAGCAAACTTCATATAGCTAGGTTGTTAATGGAACTTACACAAAAAACACCTGATAACGTTCAATCTGGATATTGGAGGAGACTCCAATCTGACATAAATTGCTGAACGAGAGAGCCTAGAAGACTTAAAAAGTTTACAATAACTTATTATAAAGAGTGCACCAAAAACGATACTTTAAGGCTTTAATAGATTCTTAATTTGTGGGAGTATATACACAATAGGACAAAAGTAAATATTTACTCCAACATTGTTTCAATTCAAAGAATTGCTTACTCTAGACTCTAGTGAGAATGTGGATTATGAAAAAAGATTACCTTGGACTTTGTTTTGGCATAAGGTGTTAAGCAGGGGTTTAATATAAATCATTGAGAAACATATCATCTCATCTGGACTGCCTGGTGTTGTCTGATCTCCATAACTGAACTCCTGGTAGGATCACATATCAAAAACAGAATAAAAATGTGAATTATTGAAATTCACCTATTAGGCCATTACATAGTTCAAGATAGATGTATTGCAATATAAACAATGAAATTGCAGAAGGGCATATATTTGAAATTTGGCTTAAGTGAACCAGGAGGGCATGCATCATCCAAAGTTACAGGGTAGCACAAGAAATCCAAGTCCTAGAATTCGAAAAATAGATGCAGACGACAAAATAGAATTTAAAACCAAACTACTATATGTTTAGATTAACTAATTAAGGATCATCAAATTTGCAGTTGAATGTTCACTGAAATAGAATGAACAAGTCAAGAAAGCCTACAGTGTAAAAAAAGAAAAGAAAAAAATATTTGTGTTTTTCAGCAAGAAAAGGAAATCCAAGTTGGTAGAGAGACAAGGAATTGAAAATTTTAACAACTAGTATTAAGGATCAAGTGGAATACATGTTACAGCCCGCACATCAATTATGCTCTGCTTGAGTGAACTGTTCTAACAAGTATCACTTTTATGCTCTCACCCGTCCTAGGTATGTAACCAAATGCTTCACAAACAAAACTAGAAACTGTTTCGTATTGATGATCCTGAATAGAAATTAAAAGAATAAAGGCCAGTGAAGGAGGAAATCACAAAGGATCTTAATGGGAAATAAAAGAATTGAAATTTTCATAGCAAATCAATCATTGCGGAAGATAACAATTTACCTCGAGCATTTTAATCTCGAGTTCATCAGATAGCTGATCAATGGATGTATTAGCATCCACATCAAAGATTCCCTCAGCCCTGAGAACAATGTAGCCAGTTTTCTTCTGCATCTCTTCCTGCCATGGTACCAAATACTGTGAGAACACTTTCCTTTAACTTATAAATCACAGGTATGGTATGCTGATTTTAAAGAAGTTACAAGTAGTGGCATCAATGATGAATTGAAGCATATCAGAAATCATTAAATTGGTGATGGTCTAGTGATAAATTGAAGTACGGATTCATTGCTCCCCTTCATGCTCTTCTCAAGGTCCTCAATCCTCTTCTCCATGAACTCAATATCCTAATGAAGCACAGAGCAACAGACCATTAGAATACCATCCCAATGAATAGTAGATACAAGAATATTCACATTTATTTAATTTATTATTTATTATACAAAAGCTCTGATATGCAGCACCCTTTTTGAATTTTGAAATGCCAAATCAAGCATAAAATAATATCTAATAGTACCATTATCATTAAGGAGTGTACAATTTTTTGTTTACCTTTTTAATTGGAAGATTAGGAGTTAGCTCATCTGTAAAAACAGTGAAAGAAGTTTACTGTACAAGATCAACACTAGATTTGGCTAAAAATAAATGAACCAGCAAGGAAACAAATGATAGCACCAGCCCTACATATGCATATCAGTTATACAGGCAAACCATCTTTAGTGCTTGAACAACTAAACGATTAGAACTTAAGTGCAGAACTACAGATGCATATCAATTTGTTTTTTTCTTTTTGTATAGAGAGGATAGGATAATCAAGTACCTGAACAGTTCTTCACGAACACCGCCGCCGAAATTCCTCTCCTCTCCGTCAATCCGGAGGTTGATGATGAAGCCGCAACCAACGCCACCATCTGCAAGTGGTCTTGTGCTGCGAAAGGGAGTCAGAGATTAGTATTAAGGGTTTTATGGTCTCTGAACGTATCACCCAAAAAAGTCATAAATGATCGAGTTAGATCTGAGCGCAAACCACATCTAGATCTGAGAAAGAAACAAAACGAAAAACAGAGAGAAACCTCTGAGCTTTCTTCTTCTTTCTTCTTCTTTCTTCTTGGAGCGGCGGTCGTGGGTGTCTGAAACAGGGGCAGAGACGTCGGCTATGGCGGTGGTAGCAGTAGTGGCGTCGGCAGATCAGCGCTGGAGGCGGTGGCTGTGTCGAAGTTGTCACGGTGTGGTGCGCATCGGCAGATCGTCGTCACGGTGGAGGTTGTGAGGCCAACGGCGTGGTGGCGGTAGGTGTTGTGGCGATGAGACGATCGAGGCAGATGGCGGATGAAGATTTTAGATCTGAGATGCGATTTTGATGTAAGTGGTAGATCCAGGGTTAATATTAGGCTACCATTTCTATTAGGAATGTTGCCTATTATAAAACAATATATATTTTGAGGCAATCATTTTTATTAGAAATGGTTGTCTATTATAAATTAATTTTTTTTAAAATATATTAAATATAGAATGGGCAACCATTACAACTAACAATGGTAGGGGACTATTGATCACTTATTTACAAAATTGTCACCGCGAATTTTTAGGCTAAGATTAGGCAAGCATTCTTTCAACAATGGTGGCCTATGGTCAATCTTCTATGTTCAATTTTGTACTAGTGAATTATGCATCGGAATATAGTTTTGGTGAGTTTTATCATTACAGATAGGAATGTCAATTTATTTAACATATGGTTATAATATAAATAAATTAGCGTCTTCTATCATAAAGTTATAATATATGTACATATTCAAAAGTATTTTTATGTGTACATTTTGAGGTATTAGTCTAATTTCTTTTATGTGTATTTATTATGCATGAAAATTTTAAATTAGATTAATAGCTTAGTACATTAATATTCTTTTGTGTACAAATATCAAGTGATCAATACAATTTCATAACTGAAATTATTAAGTTATTTTGATCACTTTGTGACTAATTACATAAAGTATAATAAAATCTACCCACAGGAATTTTATTATATTAATGTAAATAGTCAAGTTGGAATATCAAATCATATATCTTAATTTACCCACAGGGATTACGAAAATGAACATGGTTTGACAGTTTTATAATAAAGTTGTAGATGAATCTAATTGAATAAAACTTTAGCCCACATGCAAGTTTTATGTCACTAGATTCTTCTATCCCTTTGATAATAATTTTATCATAAAGTTTTAGTTGAGTCTAATTGAACAAAACTTTAGCCCACAGGCAAGGTTTGTGTCACTAGATTCTTCTATTTGATTATCATAAAGTCTCAGTTGAGTCTAATTGAATAAATCTTTAGCCTACAGGCAAGTTTTATGTCACTGGATTCTTCTGTTTAAATTGATAATCAAGATAAAATTTTATCATACCAATTTTAGAATTTATAACTTTAAGGCCAGTTATAATTCTATGTCACATGCATGGGTTGCATTGGCAACACATGTATTTTGTTAAACTACAAAACTTTAGTAACTTGAAATTGTTACTGTATGTGGCTTACTTGGTTTTTCAGTGTACCATAATAGAGCTTTTAAATTTGGACATGATATACTCTTGGGTCCTTATGTTGGAATTGTACGTATCTAGCCAAATTTCAACTAAAGCAATTTAATTTGTTTAAATAGTTGAAAATTGTGTCTGTTACATGTACATATTTAGCATGTCCAACTATGGTGGGGAATTATAATCCTTGTTAGATTAGTTGGACTTGCTAGTGGGTATATCATTTATGCTCAAGAATAAATTTAAGAGTAGGAGTAATGGTTTGATCAGTGGGAGTGATCATTTAAAAGATGATGTGGCTTCCCCTTAATTAATCAATATTATATGATCACTAGACGGTTATCTTGATATTTCAGGCATTGACCTTAAGCGTAAGAACAATTATGCAACAATGTGATAAACAATTCCAAGTATACTCCCAGGAAAGTTGGTTGGGAAGGAGCCTCATTAAAAACCAACTTCTTAGACAGAGTAATGTTTCAAGGGAACTAGTAGCACAAGCAGGATCACCTGACATAAAGTTGACAATTATTGTTTTTTAGATTTTTATTAAGTTTTAAATTTTCCGAAAAATGTTTTAAAGGCTTGCGGTGTTAGCAATTGTTTTTTCATGTTAAATCTCCTGACTGTTATAATATTATGTGATTATTATGGCTATTCATTGCAAAATTCTGAAATTGCAATGAATAGCCATAATAATCACATAATATTATAACAATAAGGAGTTTTAACATGAAAAACAATTGCTAACACCGCAAGCCTTTAAAATATTTTTCGAAAAATTTAAAACTTAATAAAAATCTGAAAAAAAATAATTGTCAAATCATAAATATAATAACCAATAATTTCCGACTGTAACAAGTCGGCCTAAAGGCATATTCGAAAAATAGTTTACACCCAACACCATTAATAATGAAAATTAAAAGATAAAATAACATGGCTCTTATTTCAGTTTTGTAATATAATTTCCGTCAAATATTCAAAACCGAAAGAGTAGGTAGTTTCAGTAACATAATATGAAAGCATAATTGATATGGAGTTTCATAAGAAAGTAAGAACTAAAAGGCTATAAAATAGAGTTGGAAAACATAACCAATCAACCACAAATTAGCAAAAACTATTCTGATTGGTTTAAAAAAGGGCAAGAGTAACTAAAACTGGGAAACTTAAACACTTTAACGCGAAACTTAATGACAGAAAGTGAACCTATATTGCACAAATTCCGCCACTCCATGTTCTGAAATTATGCCCAAATCTTCGCCACTGAAAGAGGAAGAGAGAGAGCCGACGTCGACCGTTCCTTAATGACGAAGATCATCTCTCCATCACGCCTTTTATTCCAAAGCCACCAGCCGGATATCTTCCTCATGCAAGTCGCAGCGACGCCTACTTATGCATAACTGAAGTCCTTCAAGCCGCCCTCCATCACAACAGTAGAATCGGTGACTTCGCCTGGCCTCAATACTGGAGTTACAAGCAACATGCAGCCTGACGGCGATCAGCCCAGCCGGCCGTGGAGAGAGAACGCCGGAAGAGGAGCCGGCTGGAGCACCGCCGCTCACCACCCTCACCTGAGACCCAGCGTCGCCATCCCTCCGCCGTCTCCCGCAACCACACCAACAGATCGCAACCAACAAGCAGAGAAAACAAAGGCGGCTCCAGAGAGAAAGAGAAAGAAAGTGGCGATCGAAGGCGGGAATCCCAGCCCTGTCACCGCCTTCTCGTCTCGACACCTCCCGCCGTCCGCCACCCACCATCTGCCAGCCAAGCCGTTCGCCGGAACACAATCACCAGTAGTACGTGACAACACCTCCAAGGAGCACTGACAATATCGCCCAATAGTGCTACGGCTAGAGGTGCCACCACCGGCAATGTCAAATGGAAACATCCAGGGCAATGCTCGCAACACACAACGGCGCTAACAAACTTAAGTAGTGCCCAACGGCACTTCTTCTGGTTACCAAAGACAACACCGTCTCAAGGAACAGTTTTTCGGCGACATTCATGGCAACAACAAATACCTCTCATGCCACAACCAGATGCCGATTCAAATGTTTTCAAATATAATTTGGCAACAAACCCAAGTATAAACTCACAGCAGGTATATATTTTTGGCACACACACACACACACACACACACACACACACACACACACACACACACACACACACACACACACACACACATATATATATATATATATATATATATATATATATATATATAATGCATATATATATTCAATAATTTAACAGAAGGTATTCCCTTACTGAAGGTAATCAGATCACATGGAATGCATACAAAATAATTGCTTCTCAAAATGAGAAACGCCAACAACTGCACTAAAAATGATTGATGTATTTTCAAAGAAGAAATAGTAAAAATATATACTTCATATTATACTCATATTCGAAAACATATATCATATGCAAATAAACAACCAGGCAGAGATAAAAATTAGGCTCTGATACCAAATGTTAGACACATACAAAACAATACAGGTAATCTAACCTTATAGCATATGATCAAGCATCTCCAGCCATAGTTGTATAATCTCCGTTGCATTGTTTGAATAACAGTAATGAACTTTAGAATTTCGTCTACCACTTAGTCTCCTGTACAACTAGATGGTGTAGTGTCTCAAGTCACAGGAGCAATGGGAGGGCCCTACATATATATAACCTACGTGTCATCATTATAGGTTAAGTAACGGAAACCGTTACTTCCGTTTCAAACCACAACATTATGGCCATAAATGGCCTATTGACTTGCATCACTTAATAGTGACATAATGGAAATGTTACAGATACAAGTTTTTGCAACTCAAAATTGTTGAATCTTCCAACTTAGGTTAGACTTGGCACTTGAATCTTCACTTCTTGTAGGCTAAAGTCTAAGCTTGATCTGCAAATATTTAGCTCTTCTCTTTTTTCATTGGTCAGTTTCTTAGCATTTAGAATGGTTTTAATCACTTGATATTGTCAATAATAAGACTAGCACATTCTTCAGTCTTTATTGAAGGTATTTATAGGAGCATTGAAATAAATTCGTTGGAGGGAGATAAATTTCAAACGTCTCTTAACTCTTGCGTATTAACCTGTGGACATTGTGAAATGTTACTTTTTGTCATATTTTCCAACCGTTTGACACGTCTTTACCTGCTGCACTTTATTTTTTGTACTGCACCTTTTGTATAGGATTTTAAAGAAAATTCCCATTGGGATGTATACCTAGGACTTCAATTGCCTTGGTGACACTTCCCATAATGTTTATGACTTTAAGGTTTCAAACTATTTGCTCACAGAATGTCTCGAACAGTAGCTCTAAGTGGTCAATTCTTACCCTTCGAGTTAACTCTTCGAATCATAACGTTTTGTAACCTTTCAGAGATGACTATCAAATAGTCATTCCTACCACTGAAATAACTTAATTAACTATTATTCTTTAAGTTAACTTTTCGAATCCACACTACTCGATAAGGTTTGTCCTTCCTTTCTTCGGCCATTATATTGCAACCTTCCAGTCTTCTAATCTTCAACTCTTCATTGCATTGCTACCACTCTTCGTAGCTCCTCATCTTTTTGACACATCATTTGAGAGCTTAAGTTTATTACTCGAAGCGTAGCTATCTATTCGAGTTATAGAATTCAAACTCTTCAGAACTATTCGAATTGAATGAGGAGACCTCCTTCACACAAACACACACACACACACACACACACACACACACACACATATATATATATATATATATATATATATATATATATTCGTGAAAAAATAATTTATTAACTGCGAATAGACCGAAGGGAGGCAAAACCTCTAAAATCATACAAAAAAGCCATTTGCGCCATTACGGGCAAGC